ATATCACTGAGCCCCATACACCCCCCCCTTTTCCCCCACATCCCCCCCAGTGATCACCTGACACAATGTCCCGGATCTCGGAGAAGTCCTCATGTCGGTGGTTCCTGAAGGCCTCTATGGCACAGTGGAAGTAATAATCCAGGGTCCATTGGTTTATGGTGAGCTCTACCCTGCCAGCCTCCCCGGGCTCTGCGCTGACACCAGCCATCTCTCACACAGATAGCTGCAGCGCGGCGCCAGCTCTGACACACTTCCGGCCATGACGTCACGCGCTCTGTCCGGCTCCGGCCGCCATGTTTGGAAGGTCGAAAAAGGAACTGCACACCCCTAACTTTCATACACTTTATTAATATAATATCGTTTGTTCCATTAAATTAGGGTTTTCTATACATTTTTACATTGATCAATCTTTATATTGATACCTTGGAAAAATATCACAACAATATATTGAAGTAGTCTAAAGAAAATCACTGTGTTTGTTCATTGCGGAGCATTAACAGGAGAATTATCAATGTTAGGCCACGGTAGCCTTAATGATGTGCGTTTGGCTTAAAACTTCAAATCCCCTAACACCGCCGGTTAGTAAAATAATTGCAGGCTGCTATCATTTTACTCATGGCTCGTTTTAGTATGTGCAGCTAGGGCTGCGCCGCAGACTATGCATGCGCAATCTGCCACGTGCAAAACTTGCACAAAATGAACAGTGACTCCGTACTGACAGCTCGGACTGGGGTGCTTACACATGTAGCCATTTTTACAAATAGCTGCAGCTCTAAGCCGGTCGCAGAAATCTGAGAGATGGCTCAGGGTGCTATGTGCACCAGCAACTTTGCAATAATAATAATAATAATACATTGTGGGTGATTCAGAAAAAGTGGCGCAGCTGTTTTCACTCCACAATTTTGTTTGCGTTTTCTGTTTGTACTGAAATGTTCTTTCATCTGCTTTAAATTTTTCTTGTTTGCACCCTTACCGACAGTTGCATCCTGCATCTTTTTTGTCACCATAACAACTTAATCGAAATGTTTGGAAAGTTCCTTATTCCCAGTAAATAGTCAAACTGTTTCAGAACAACTTGACAACTTACCAGGGGTCTGCCAGACGCTATTGTAGCCCCCCCTGGAGCGGTAAGCTCCTGCAAGAAGATTCTGTTAGCTCCACTGACCTAAGACCTGCCATGTAAGCTGAGAACTCTCCATGAACTGCCAGGCTTAGCTCAGTGACAAAGCTTCCAGGTGTAGGGGGCTTGTCAATTATTACGTAGTTTTGTTTTACTGTGAGAGTATCACGGTCATCCAGACAGTGACTATGATACTTCCTTTAACAACAATGTGTTCCTTTGAAAACAATGTTTTTTGTTGCCAGATTTGAATATATGCACCAAAATTTTATTAAAGGAACACTATAGTGTCAGGAACACAAACGTATTCTTGAACACTGTAGTGGTAAAATCATTTTTTTTCCACAGGTGCGCCAGTCTCTCCCATAGGAAAGCATAGGAAGGCTATTGCGCACACACAGCAAAACACTGCGCTGCACCAAACAACATCTCCTCACAGAGATGCATTAAATCATTGCATCTCTATGGGGAATGTTCAGCATCTCCATGCAGAGGGTGGGGATGCTAAATGCCAGTGCTGCACACTCTTGTGGCTGTTTGAGTGGCTGCACCTAGAAGTGTTGGTAGGCAGCAATACATTAAAAAGCCTGCAGGGACTGACTATTCTCACCGGAACAAACACCATTAAGCTGTAGTTGTTCTGGTGACTATGGTGTCCCTTTAAAGTGTCTCTCTCACCTTCTGGGGTCTTCACAAAATATGCAAGGACACCAAAAGGTGACATTGCCGCATGGATGCAGGGGAAGGTAAGTTTTACTTACCTGAACCTGTCTCTGAACTCTCTCTAAGGTATCAATATCCTTCTGAAGATACGGTCTCCAGTACTGTGTACAATACTCCAAGTGAGGTCTCACCAGGGTTCTGTACAATGGCATGAGCATTTCCCTCTTTCTACTGCTAATACCTCTCCGTATACAACCAAGCATTCTGCTAGCATTTCCTGCTGCTCTATTACATTGTCTGCCTACCTTTAAGTCATCAGAAATAATCACCCCTAAATCCCTGAGGAAAGGATATTGATACTTTGGATATAATTCAGAGAAGAGCTACTAAACTGGTTCATGGATTGCGGGATAAAACTTACCAGGAAAGGTTAAAGCATCTTAACGAGGCAGGGGGCATATGATATAAACATTTAAATATATAAAGAGAATCAACACAGTAAAGGAGGAGACTATATTTAAAAGAAGAAAAACTACCACAACAAGAGGACGTAGTCTTAAATTAGAGGGACAAAGGTTTAAAAATAATATCAGGAAGTATTACTTTACTGAGAGGGTAGTGGATGCATGGAAAGCCTTCCAGCTGAAGTGGTAGAGGTTAAAGGGCCACTATAGGCACCCAGACCACTTCAGCTTAATGAAGTGGTCTGGGTGCCAGGTCCAGCTAGGGTTAACCCTTTTTTTTATAAACATAGCAGGTTCGGGGAAACTGCTATGTTTATATTAGAGTTAATCCAGCCTCTAGTGGCTATCTCATTGACAGCCGCTAGAGGCGCTTGCGTGCTTCTCACTGTGAAAATCACAGTGTGAATGCTTTCCTATGAGACTGGCTGAAAGCGCGCACAGCTCTTGCCGCACATGCGCATTCAGCCGAGGAGGAGGAGGGGAGGCGGAGAGGAGGAGGAGAGCTCCCCGCCCGGCGCTCGAGAAAGAGGTAAGTTTAACCCCTTCCACCCCCTAGAGTCCGGCGGGAGGGGGACCCTGAGGTGGGGGCCCCCTCAGGGCACTATAGTGCCTGGAAAACGAGTATGTTTTCCTGGCACTATAGTGGTCCTTTAACACAGTAAAGGAGTTCAAGCATGCGTGGGATAGGCATAAGGCTATCCTAGCTTTAAGATAAGACCAGGGACTAATGAAAGTATTTAGAAAATTGGGCAGACTAGATGGGCCGAATGGTTCTTATCTGCCTTCACATTCTATGTTTCTATGTAAGATCCTGGCGTTTCATTTGCCATGAGCCGGTATCAGTGCGTTAGTCTGGCGTGTGCATGAGAGTTAAACATTAATATCTGTGGAGATCCCACGGACAGCGCCCCGTACTGACGCTGGCGGCTTGGCGTTCTCTGACAGCAGTAGCCACGCCTTTTGTCAGCCTTTGGCAAACATAGGAAATCTAATTTGTCCTACGACAGGGTTGGATTTTCAGCCTTTATTACGTTTTAACACTATTCTATCTTTATGGGGGGGGAGGGGTGACAGGGCTGCTTTAAGGTGCAGTGGTTTTGGTGCATGTACTGTCCCTTTAATTTGCAAATGTATGATGGGCACTGCAGTTCAATGGCAGAGGGCGGGGTCTCGCTTGCCCCCGCCCCCCGGTTTATGTCCAATAGAAAGCCTCCTATGGTAAGGGGTGAGTGAGTTCAGCGAGCTCTGATTGGCCAGTCCGCACACCTCACGCGAGGCAGCCTGTGATTGGCTGTCGCCCTGGAGACCTGGCATGTGCCCATATGCCGATGTGAAGCGCAGCGGTACGGAAGCCGAGCAGGTTCACCGTGCGTTTCCTTACATAACGCGGCCCGGCCATGGAGCAGAACGGGCTCACTTACTACACCCTGGAGGAGGTCAGCAGGCGGAACTCGGCCAAGGAGATCTGGCTGGTCATCCACTCCAAGGTCTATGACATCACCCGCTTCGTGGAGGAGGTGAGACAGCGGGTTAACGGGGCAGCTATCCCGGGACAGCCAGGGGGTCAAAGGGCCAGCTATCCCGGGACAGCCAGGGGGTCAAAGGGCCAGCTATCCCGGGACAGCCAGGGGGTCAAAGGGCCAGCTATCCCGGGACAGCCAGGGGGTCAAAGGGCCAGCTATCCCGGGACAGCCGGGGGTTCAAAGGGCCAGCTATCCCGGGACAGCCAGGGGGTCAAAGGGCCAGCTATCCCGGGACAGCCAGGGGGTCAAAGGGCCAGCTATCCCGGGACAGCCAGGGGGTCAAAGGGCCAGCTATCCCGGGACAGCCAGGGGGTCAAAGGGCCAGCTATCCGGGGACAGCGGTCCAATGGGGCAGCTATCCAGGACAGCGGGGGTCAATAGGGCAACTATCCGGGACGGCAGAGTGTATGCGGGGGTAAAGGGCCAGCTATCCCAGGACAGCGGGGGTCAACAGGGCGCTATCCGGGACAGCGGGGGTCAATCTTGGTCAAAGGGCCAGCTATCCGGGTCAGCGGGGAGTCAATGCGGCAGCTATCCCGGGACAGCGGGGGTCAAAGGAGCCAACTATCCCGGGACGGCGGGGAGTCAAGGCAACTATCCGGAGACAGCGGGGTCAATCACGGCAGCTATCCCGGAGACAGCGAGGGGCCATCGCGGCAGCTATCCCGGGACAGCGGGGTCCATCGCGACGCTATCCCGGAAGGACAGCGGGGTCAATCGCGACGCTATCCGGGACAGCGAGTCCAGCATCGACGCTATCCCGGGAACAGCGAGAGTTCAGCGGCAAGCTATCGCTGGGGAGCAGCGAGTCCAATAGGCGCTATCCGGGACAGCGGAAGTTATCGCGGCGGCTATCCAGGGCATCCGGGGTCATCGCGACGCTATCCCGGAAGACAGCGGGGTCCCATCACGGCGCTTATCCGGGACAGCGGGGGTCAACGGGGCAGCTATCCCGGGACAGCCGGGGGGGTCAACGGGGCAGCTATCCCGGGACAGCCGGGGGGGTCAACGGGGCAGCTATCCTGGGGTAATCTGGGTGGTTGTCAATGGGGCATCAATTCTGGGCAACCAGGCGGGTCAATTGAACATCAGTCCTAGGGCAAACTGATGGTCAGTGGGGCAATGGGGCATAACCTTAAGCACAGTGAACATAGAATATGTAAGAAGCCAATGCCAGTTAAGCAGCCGGTGTTCAGCAATACATTTTTACTTTAACCCCTTAAGGACACATGACGTGTGACATGTCATGATTCCCTTTTATTCCAGAAGTTTGGTCCTTAAGGGGTTAATGACAAGACATACTGGTACATCACGTGTTCATATGCATTGCAGGCACATGCCATACCAGCACTACTTTTCATCTTGTACCTGTAGTATTTAAATCCATGTATCATCTGGGAAAGCTAGCTATCACTCTATACCTGGCGTCCCTCTTTGCCATCTGGGGCCAGATTTAGACCGACGAGCTGTGCACAATGCACATAACCCTTTAAATCCGCATGGCTGGATGTTTGTATACAACCATGGTGGTTATATTTAAATTGAGGGAATTCCAAGATACTCCTTCAGAAAGGGATACCCGTCGGTATTGAAAAGATCCTGATTGGGTCTTGTGGTGAACCGCCTGTACCCAGAGTGGTAAATTCGTCTGAACTCTCCCGAATTCCCGCTAGGTTCACATGATTACAGCCGCTCTTACTATCACATATCCAAACATCAGTCGAGACTAGATGAAGGGTACAAAAGGAATGGTTTTATTATGACCAAGTTGCCTTTTTATGTACACAGACCCCCAGCATGGGGTCTCCAGTAAAAACATAGGTAAGCCCGCCCATGCGTCTGTGTGTCTGGGAGATAAATGATTTTTGTTTTGCTCAAGCTAATCATCTCCCAGGCACTTGAGATACAGTACAGAACACATAAAACACCCCAAAACACATATAATATTGATAGGAACCCCCACAAGTCTTATATCCCTAGATAAAATTAAGTCCTAATAGTCAGAGAATATGTCTATTAGAAAATGTGTAAGAGGGAATAAGACAGAGAGTAGAAAAAAAGCTCGAAAACTGGAAAAACAGGGTTTCATCAAGTCCCATACATATAGCTATAAAAGAGTATCCAGGAGCTTATAACTAGTGATGTTGCGAACTCGCTGCGAACGTCAGCTGCCAATCTCCGGCAGACCCTCCCTCCCAGACCCTCCCAGAAATAAATTGTTGGATAGTTGCTCTGTATAAAAGTCCAAATGATAAATGCACAAGGAATCAGTCCAAATAAAAAAACATATAATTATAGCACATATGTATCATAGATAACCTCTGACCTGCTAGGATATCCTTTACAGGATCAAGCGAGGTTTATATGAATTCAATTTACATTCATGTAAGAAGGTCTTAAAATAAAAATAGAAAATAAAATAAATTAATTAAAATAATTTTTTTTTTTTTAAATCAAACCTAGGCTTGTTAGTATCGCAAACCAACAGCCTAATTGATAGTCCAAAACAGCAATCTGGGCCAGCTGCCAAGAAAATTCAACTGTAGCAGTCGGAATGAATATTAAAATGTTGCGTGTTGGTACCCAATTGATACTTTTAAAAAGTGTCCATCTATGTCAAAATGACTTATAGAAATTGATATTCTTTAAAAGATAAACTTTACATCAAAATAATGATGATAATACTAAATGGTTCAAATGGACCATAAAATATTGGGTAAAAAATATTCCACAAGGATATATACCAGAATGAGAGAAGATAAAAAGATGATATAACCTGAACAGTTCGTCTGGATGGCTGAGGATTGTGATATTCCCCTTCCAAGTTGATTCTGCAGCAGCCGGTGAGGACGGCGTCCGCGTTCTTTGGAACTTCCCCTCTGACCTCACATCAAGAGGTGAGCCCCCAGAATGACGTCGTGTTGCAAATG